GTTATTTCCAGCAAGTGCAGTTATGTTTACAGAACTCTAGCCATCTAGAGTCAAAACTGCGCCACCTCTGATCTAGCAGACAGAGAAAGGGTTCAGGGAACAGAGTCGGCCGTACTTTAATTTTCCGAAGCGTGGGCTTTAAATCTTAGCTCGTGTGAGAGATGATGGTGTGTGTGCGTGCGTGTGTGTGCGTGCGTGTGTGTGTGTATGCTGACTCATTCGATCAGCAGTGGGTGCTCGTCTGCCAACTGCGCTGGCATTCGTGCCTCTGAACTTGTGGGAGCGTCTGTCTGAGAGAACGAGAGAGAGAAAGACACTGCAGAATTATGCATGTGGCATCTCTCAGTTTGGAGATAAGCCTGATGAATCGAGCCCTACTGCCCTCAGAGGCTCAATTCCACATTGCTATTAATTAAAATATGAATTATGTGCCTTATCAGAAGCCTATGATGATCTGCACTCAAGGCTTCTGGAACAGTTTGGAAACGGTGTTATATTATATTACAGGACTTATTGTGCCAATACCATGGCAATTCTGCATTTCGAAAAGAGCAGAGAAGCTGTAATCCATCCACCTCATTGCTGTCTCTGTCCTTCACTCTGAGCCCTTTTTAATGCAATTTATTAAGATGGTAAATAGCAGGGGAAGATCAGTAAGATCCATCAGCTCCAAACAATCATGATCTGCTAGGCTTTGCCTAGAGCATCATCTCTGTCCACATCATGATGTATTTATGACTTAACATTATAAAAGCTATCTGTCTGTTTTGCTCTATTCAACCCAGTCCAAAAATGATTTACAGGAAACTGGCACAGTGCTGTCTTTTTCTCTTTATACAGTATGTCCTGTTATAGTTTCCACACACAAGCTTAAAAGTCTTTAAAAAAGCTTGATTTCTCATACCATGTTTCTTCAAGGATTGCTTAATTTTGAATAAACAAATGAAAATGCTTGACTTTTCCAATAAGAGTCAGATGTTAGCCTTTATTCTGATGTTCTGTAATGTACTAAATGTACTAAATGTTCTGATGTACTAAATGTAAAACATATCAACAGGTTATTTATATTAGCATGAAACTCCTCAGTGAAACTCCTGAAAAATAAAAGCTGCAGATACAGCACACAGAAATGTGATGCAGCAAGTTCTGCAAGAAAGTAATGACATTTTGACATTTATATTTTGTGCCAAATAGTGCACAGATGCATTCTAACACCTGGGAGCACTGAAATTAAAACTGATACATTGCCACTTGCTGTCTCAAACAATCGGAACATTAGCCAGACGTGTAGAACAGTTTCGCCAAAACCACGTGATTTGTATTGAGCTAAATTGTAAAGCTAAATACATTGAGCTAAATCTGCATTGCGTTGGAAACAAAAACAAACAAACAAACAAATAAATAAATAAAAATGCACACTCTTCCTCTGGCCATACACTCTTAAAAATGTAAAACTCTTTGTGGTTCTGTGGTTGTCCCTCTGGAGAAACCATTAAAGGTCCTATGAACCCCACTACAAAGTTTTTCCTTCTATATAGAACCCTTTTATTGGAAGTTATGAACTCTTAAAGAACCCAAATCCAAATCAGTGGTCATTATTTTTCTTCTTAATACCTAGAACCTGTCAGGTGTTTAACATCCAACTAAACTGTACTGTTACTTGGTACAGGGTTCTTCTTTAAGAGTTCATTGGATACCCAAGGGCTGTTAGTTTCCTACAAAGGTTCTAGCTGAAACCCTGTCTGATAGGAAAATAAAAACTATCATAAATGGATTGCGATTAAACAGCGCAAGAGAAGGTGTGAATCTGCGAGTTCAGTGTAAATCTCTCTTGAGCAGGGACAGAAGAGAGTAGAATCATTCCTGGTACTACTTCCAGGTGAGCACTGAGTACACTTCATGCCCACTTCAAGCACTTTTATCAATTTTACCTGACTGCTTCAGCGGGACAATGTCTCCAGTCGATGACTGCAGTGAGAGCGGTTGTCAGGGGCGGGGAAAGGTGCAGTTCAAATAAAAATGCACCGATTGCAATAAAGATTCGTGAGTTTCACAAAAAAACACGCTATACAGTTAAAGGGGAAGCTAGCGCAAGAGCAGATTAGGGACTCCTGAAGCAGCAAAACAACTGGGTTATACCGAGGGTAGGCGCTAATATTGATCCTTAGAAGTCGTTATGCGCAAACAGCCCTGAGGAAAAAGTAAGCATAAGGCGTATACGTGTGTATGGACCCAACTACACCACTGTTCTTTGGCTGTCCCTGTATGTTCTACTTGGAACCCTTTCCAATAGTGAAACACTCAGTTGACGGAGGGACAACCGAAGAACTCTTACGAGTTAAGAGTGTATGGCAGAGAATTTGAGTCTCATTCCATCCGTCTCCTGCTGTTTCTATATTTCATATTAATGTAGCGTGTCTTTCCCTCTGTTCATATTTCATATGCATTTCATAAAGGAGATGAAGCCCTCTCTCTCTCTCTCTCCCTCTCTGTGCTTGTATTTCATGTGAATTTTGGGCTCCTGTGATATGACTGTGTTCCTCCCTAAAGCACTGGTAAAGCGAAGCATTTAGTGACAGCAGGAGAGTCTGAAGCGTGCTAAATCACCTCCCTCCCAGCAACAAAGCACAGCACAATGACAAATCTCACAGCACATCCATTTCCTCCCCATCCGCCTCCAGCTCGGTGTGTTGTTGGGTCACTTTTCTCAACTGGAGCAGGACAGGAAGGACAGAATGCAGACATAGAGGATAGAGGATAGAGTTTCCTGCTAGCATGATGCTAATGAGGGGAAGTCTCTTGAGCAAACTACGTAGATACCAAGAAACAGACACAATCCACTTTTCAGTATATGAGCACAGATATAGGATCTGCTTTGGGTTTTCTTGCTTAAATTCAGTTCTTGGCGATCATTATTCTACACTGCTTGCTAACACAGGTGTATTTGGAGCTTGGTTGAGCTCTACTTGATTGTTGTTGTTTTTTTTCCCCAAACGTCAGACAAGTGAATGATTGACTGATCATGTTTATTCTACAATGAAACATTTCTATCCTGATAGGTGTTCCCGGGATGCACTTCAGATCCTCTGTGATCCTGAAGAGCTTTACTGAATGAATTAATGAATAAATAAATACATTTTTGCCCATTCTCTTAAAGAGTGCCAATAATTCTGGAGCTGACTGATAGCTCTCATCAAAACGACTGACCAGACTGAGTGCTTACACTCTCAGAAAAAGGGCATCGAACTGTACTTTTTTTTTTTTTCTTGTTGCTGCAGTGGTACCTGTAGCGCTTATCATTATACCTTAAAGAACAATTTAAGGTACGTAGTTGGTGCTTAAGGGCCATTGATTGGACCTTTAAAGCTTTACTCTAAAATCTAATTACACATTAAGGTGCAAAACAGGCACTCTTGATGGTACCACACCAGTGATGAGGAAAAGTACAGTTTGCTACCTTTATTTCTGGAGTATGTTGAATGTGTGATTGGTTTCACATGTTTCTTCTCACGGTTACCTGAACGTACATGTGGATCAGTTCACGCATTGTGTGAAAAACGTGTCACATCCCGGACTAGCGCAATTGTGCAGTTCCCAAGCCTGGCCTCTAGGTGGGGATATTTTAGTAGATATTTTCACACGTCTTGTAATACAAATGCGTGTCAAACGGACCTAATCTGTAACATGCCTTACCTTTGAAAATGGCCATAACACATCCGGTCCTATTGTTTTACTATGGAATCGTTGAGTGCGACTCATGTTTTACACACACACACACACACACAAAATATTGGCCAAAAACAAAAAAAAGCATGGTCTTTGCGTCCTAACTGAGTGTCTCTGAGGCACAGGACGATCTATACATCCCGGAAACGTCTTCTAAATACCCCATGAATACCACCAACACCCTTCTATGGATGATGGTGACGGTAGATGGTGTTCGCGTCCTTGGTGTCAAAGCCAGTGCTGTGGTGTGTGTGTGTGTGTGTGTGTGTGAGAGACAGAGAGAGAGAGAGAGAGAGAGAAACGCGCCATATGCAGCCTTTTAACACACACTGCATCACCTGACGGACGCGGACGCACCATCCAGCTCACCAACACCAACCAAAAAAAGCGCGCCTTAAATTTCATTTTCAATTTTACATTTTGTTTCCATTATATTTATTTGTCACTTATTAGCAGTGATGTCTCAAGGAGGACGACTGGTCGCTTTAGGAACCGTGACGCTTTGACGCGGATTCGATGGATCACCTCTAGTACGCGCGCGTCCTCAAAGTGCGCGTTCTGCGACTGTGATTTTTTTTTTTAAATCCCCTCTCCGGATAACGTTCCTACAAAACCTACTTTGGAGATACTTCTTCTTCGTCTTCTCTTACACCTTAAGACCAGCGTGGTGAGGCAGCACAGAGAGCAGTGTAACGTGAAGGGAGAACGTTTCTCCCCCAATTTGTTTACGAAGAGAGCTCCAGCATGCTCCGTGCGCACTCACATCACGCTGCGCACCGGTCTTCATGTGCTTGGATAACTGAATTCTGAATTAGGAAGTACTGCATTAAAGTTTTCGAGTTGAACCCCGATCCGTTTGTCGTCGAGATCATGCCTGTGAACGCCATGCCGAGAGCAGGGGGCGGCTCTCTGAGCCCGGCGGCACTGTCCCGCAGCCTTTCCCGGCTCAGGGAGCTCCGAACGCGGACTCGCCTCATGCTGTCGCTCGGTGTGGCGCAGATGGTGCTCGGGAGTCTCATTTTGGCTGTGAGCTTCGCCGCTCTGGCTCTTACTACCTCTCCCAGAGTCAGGCATTCCTGTCCCTTCTGGGCCGGCTTCTCGGTAAGTCTTATCTCAGCACCAGTTGGGTTTCCACCTGCCTTTTCTTTTTACAATATAATGCACTCATATGTAGTGTAGTATATGACTTGTATCTACTCATTTGGCTGACGCTTACAATGAGACAGGACACATTTGAGCAAGTTGAGGTTAAAAGTCTTGCTCAAGTGGCAGCTTGCGGGTGCTGGGGTTTGAACTCATAACCTTCTGATCAATAACCCAAAGCCTTAACCACTGACCCACACTCCCTGCCTGCAAAGAATTAATCTCCTTTAAGATAGGACCGCTGTGGTGCAGTGGTCCATCACGACTTGGTGTCCAATTGTCCTGGACGCATGTGGTCCAGCTGACTTTACCGTAGACACAGTGTACATCATTTTATTAATTTGTAATAATAATAATAATAATAATAATAATAGCAATAATAATAAAGCATATTTGCCCCATTCCTGCTTCTGTGCTATCAAAGAAACCTCATCTACACTCTTCCTTGAAGGTTCAGATAGTTCCGGCCCGAGGCGATTACAGGGACAGTGGCAGGAAAATCCAAGGGTCTCACTTTATTGCCATTATGTTACACTGATTACCTTTATAAACAACCAAGGCAATGAGCTAACTACAGGATGGCTGTCTGAAAATGTTATATTAAGTGTTATATTCTGTATGTTAGATCTAGTGCTAGATCAAGTGCTAGATTTCTAATTAGATCAACCTTCATGACACCACGCAGGATACAAAGAACACCTTCGTGTGTGTGACTTCTGTACTTTGTATATACTTTAAGAAGACCATGCTATTAATCCAATCTGAGCAAAATAACAAATTCTATGAAGAACATTAGCAACAAATTATCATTAAAACGTTTCACATTACGTATCCCAGACTGAGCGCCGACTCATAGCTGTCTAGCTGCTTGCTTGCCAAAATGATGTTGGGCTAGTGTTATGTTACTTTATGGCTTAGCCTATTGTTGTTACGTTACCTCCACCACATAACACGGTTCTGCTTCCTCTTTTCATTTTCTTCTTCTTCTTCTGGCTTTACTCTTTCTTTCTATTCTCATCATTTTGAATATTCAAAATAAAAGAATTCCTTTAAGAATTCCTTCAGTTCTAGATATAACCTAGATATTTTTGAAGAGTGAATGAAGCAGGTCTGTCCTAAATCTAACAGCTTTGTTCAGATCTTCACTTGGAGAGTACATTCATTGTTGTAGAAATCTTTGGCGGTAACGTAGTATGTAGTTTCTAATCTGTGAACACTGCACTGCACCACAGAGTATTATTAAAATGAACAAGCAGCACTGGATTGTTGTTGGTGTGTGATTTGGCAGGAGATCTTGCCTGCTTTCTGAAATCCTGCCATAAATTAAATGGCCATTGTGAAATGTCATGCTGAAGTGATGAAGTGATCTGCCAGTGTTTGCAGTAAGGTAATAAAAAATTGGATGGAAAGCTGTTGATGTACAGCTTGTTTATATCCTTTCAAAACATCAGTCATGTTGGTTCGTTATTAAGTTGTTTCGGTGTTTAGTGGACTCACTAAGACGATGTCAGGACACCACTGCGCTCTGTTTTTGATATACTGCTACCTTTAGGTCAAACGTTTTGTTACAACATTGCCAGCTCAGCGGTTTTACCTATGGTTTAGTACTTTCTTTTTCATGTCGTGTCCAAGGTCAACATCTGCTACATGCAGAGGGCTTCTGGAAAGACAAAGAAGGTCAAAAAGGGCTGGAAGTTGAGCCGAACAAATCCAGTTAGTTCCAGCAGAACCGTGGTGCCTTGTGAACAGATCAGGGAACATCTTATTTATTCCTTCGTTCTAGGAGTTTTGTGTTTTGGGTAATCTTGTAAGCAGCCAAGCTCAAGACAGAACCTTATCAGGTCTAAACTTGATAATATTATTTGTATGTTTACTCTCCTTTTTTTTTTTTTTTTACCACTTTTTTGAGTCGGATGTAAGTTGGATGACTGCTTGTGTGACATCACAGCCATCATTCTGCAGCATTACTGTGCACTTTTTTTTTCTTGGTTATTTAATTCTTTATATGGAAACCACCTACTTGTTAATTAGAATTATACTACAGTGCACAAATCAGAAGGTGTGGATTAAATTTCTGTAACAGCAGCTCTGACAGTAGTTCCAGCAATACTTCAGACCACAGGATTGTATTAAAGCACTTGTTCTGATGTTATCATTTCGATAGTAACCCATTGCAGGACACAATCAGTGTACAACACACCTCTTTGGACTGGAGGAGGAAACCCATAAACAAGCAAACTCTATGCACAAAGGGCAAAGACAGGATTTGAACCCCCAACCCCAGATGTGTGAGGTAAACATGCTAACCACTAAGCCACTCTACTGTGGGTTCTTAAAAATCTTAATCTTAAAAATTCTCCCAGAAATTTGATTGACTAAATAAAGTGTCTGACCTGGGGAAAATGATCGAACTAAACATAATGAGCTGCGTAGCAGCAACTGAGGCGTCATTTTACCTGGAAATAGAGCTCCAAAATTGGCTAAAATGCCCGATTTCTGTGTTTTGACTTTCAGAATTCCGTGTTACGTTATATACCATATAATGTACAATACGTGTCGGTCATTGTGCTGCTTGTCACTTCACAAGTCCAGATGATTGTCTGTAATGGCGCAGGCTCTCCAAAAAAAAAAAAAAAGAATGTGATCATGTGACCAGCGTGCTCTCTATATATTTTAAATCTATGGGTTGCACAGATTGGGACCTCTGTAGTGCAAACAGTGCAACTGCACTACATGCATAATTAATACAGTGATGATTTTCATGATGTGAAGCACACATTCCCATGATGCACATCGTCACATTTTTGCGTCACGATGCATCTTTACACCTCTATTGACAGCTCATGATCTACATAATCTAAAACTAATAATCAGCAGATTTAAAAACATGCTATAAGTTAACGAAGAAAAACACAGAATTGTTGATATGGTGCTATGTTTATTTAACGTTTATGGAAGGAGTCTCCAGTGTCAGCGCTTTGTTAAGGTCAGTTAAGTTTTCCGATGTGGGAAAGACTTCAGGATTTATGCTTTCTGGTTTCTTAGTTGAATTTGTCCTTATTATTAATTTGATGACAGAAAACAGCGAATGACATGTAGCACATAAGTGTTATAACATAATGTTCATGTAGCTGTTATAACATAAGTCATTTTTCTAGCAGATGTTCCATAACATTATATGTAACTATAAACAGTTAAAAAAACATGAACTGTAGTTAATCAATTAATTAAAAAAAAGTGTAGTAGTTGGCAAATTGCTGTGGTATAAGAGGAATAAACACTTCAGGACGTGCTGTTATAGGAATCAACTTCAACTTTGTGTCAGGGCACATCGCAGCACGTTGTCGTGGATTATTTTCCTATAACAGCACATCCCGAAGTGTGTTTTTCTCTTACTTAATAAGCATTAAACATGAAAAGGTTTAAAATATTTCTTCATCACTGTGAAATACTAATAGGAAATTAGGAAATTACGCATTTGAAGTGTTTAAAAATTGAAATATTGACTATCCCTTGTTCTATATCTTGGAAAATAAAGACTTTTTTTTTAACACTTTTTAACTTAAAAATGCATTAAGTGCTTACCCTAATCCATATTTTATACATTATTCATCAGCAACATAAATTTATCCAGACTGTAATCCAGGCAGGTAGCTGTTGACTGTTAAGGGCCGTGAGCCAACATCGCTCCGTCTGAGACAGATAAGAAAAATCTGCCTTTACCATCCAATGTAAAGACCGGCAGTGTAGGAAATGTGCTTTTAAAATTTCACCGTGTCCATTAGTAAATATTTATGAGACAACACTTCTAAGATTTTGTGCCAAAGACCCCCTCCAGGGCCGCGAGACGCCTCAGTAGCCTACAGATGGAGGGGAGGAAAGGGATGTGTGGAAGTATATACACGGGAGAAGTGTGTGTGTGTGGTGACGGAGATAAGCAACCTGGAGGTCAAAGGTGAATCAGCATGTCTTGTGTCTGGCTGATGAACACAGGGCTGTTACGCTCCTGATAGCGCTGTGAACTCTGTCTGTGCTTTAACGTTACACGTGTTATAGATTGTCATGTAAAATCTGGTTTGTGACACATCAGTGCTTTTCTCTCTGTGTAGAAGCCAAGAGGCAGGATTATGTGTTTTGTGTGGCTTCTTTTGTATGACACACACACATACACATACACACACACACACACATACACGCACATAGCAGAAGGCGCATGAATTCAACATGAAGCAGAAGGCATCAGCAGTGGCTGGTTTGTATAAGTAGCCTTGAGGTCACTGCACACACACACACACACACACACACACACACCACGAACGGATGAACGCAGATCACATGAACACACACACACACACACACACTCACACATGCTGTTGGACTGTCACTAACCACCCAAACGGAACGGTAAGCGGTAGGGAATATAACGTAAGATAGTGTGAAGGAAAGGAAAGAAAAGAAAAAAATTTAAAGTGAAGAAACAGGAAGAGCAAAGAAAAAGAAACTGAAAACTGAAAGGGAATGGGAGGAAGTGGAGTGAAGCAGAAAAGATTGGGAACAGAAGGGAATGGAGAGGAGAGGAGAGGAAACGGAAGGAAAAGGGAAATGGGAAAGGAAACATGAAAGGAAGGCAAGAAAGGAAATGGAATGAAACAGCAGGGAAGGGAAGTGGGAAAGGGAACATAAAAGGAAAGAAAAGGGGAAAGAATGATAAGGAAATTAAAGGAAAGGAGACAGAATAGGAAAGGAAATGATACGGAAAGTAAAGAAAAGAGAAAGTAAAAGAAACAGAAGGGACTGGAGATGGGAAAGGTAACATGACAAGGAATGGAAAAGAAAGGAAACCTAGGGGAATGGAAAAGGGATGAATAAAAATGTAAGAGAGTATAAGGAAAGGAAAAGGAAGAAAAAGGAAGGGAATAAGATAAGAAAGGAGAAAGGGAAAGAAAAGAGGAACAGAAAGGGAAGGCAAAGGAAAGAGACAAGAAAGGGAAAGAAAGGGGAATAGAATAAAAAGCATGGGACAGGAAAGATAAGAAAATGGAAAACGGAAAGAGAAGGAAACAGAAAAAGGAAAGGAAAAGGAATTTGAAGGCAAAGGAAAAGGATAGGATAAAAGGAGAGGAAAAGGAAATGAAATGGAAAGGAGGTATATGGAAAAAGGCAAAAGAATGTCAATGTAAGGCGAAGGAAGGAGGAAGGTAATA